ATCTCGGAAGCACAGTTGCTATCCCTTCTAGCCTCCGGTTCTCTGATTGTCGTGGAGAGAAACGATAGGATTTTGTGGCCTTGAAAATCTGTGTGGCATAGGACATCTCTAGTTTCCACATGCGCTGAGACGACTTTAAATCACCTTGTCTGCGACGGATGGCCTGTCACCAGCGACTGGTGCAGTCGCTCGATAGGATCAATGATTTCGGCGTAGGCTACCGATGAAAACGACGGGTCCTACAAAGGGAACCCACGACAATAGGTAATAGAACAGGAGGAGAGGCACCATCGTTCCTCAGAGGTCGGCGCGGCTAATCACCTGTTATAAGTAATAAATCGAAATCTATGTACGCCAATGAGAAAAATCATAAACCTTGAAGATAATTAATTTTTTTCTACATTGTAATGTGGTACCTGACACAATCATTATGGCAAGGTTCAGGTTCAGGTGCAAAAAGTTTGTCTTCGCGATTGTAGAAACTGCAGCAGAAGCAGTTAAAGAGAAATTTTACGACACCTATGATATTTTGATTGTTCTGAGTGATGCGAAACCGGGAACACAGAATGAGCTTTGCCGAATGAGAAACCAGGAATCACATGACACAGGCTAGATGAACTGTAACGGTAACGAACTGCGGGAAATGCATGCTGTAAATGTGGTGGCACCTTGGTTCCTCACAAATCCTCCGATCCATATTTAGCATTTCCTCGTTAGTGGAATGTTCAGGGGTTCATTACAGATCTTAGTGACTAATTCACATGCAAAAACAACATCGATTAAGGGATCATTCTTCGTGACTAACCCATTGCCTAGTCTGGATGCTCTCGGTCTTCTGTCTCGCGTGATTTGTCACCACTTGCTTCCATATCTTTCTTACAGCTCATAGACTAACCTGAGCTGAGTTTTTCCAATTGGGCATACACTCCACCGTATATGTCCCTGGAAAGCGATTTCTTACACCGATTGCTGTCCCCTCCATGGAAAATAGACACATTGGCTAAATACTGAAGTGATTCTCCTGTATATGATATTCATTTGTCTTCATTTCTGTGCAAAATTGCACTTTCAGTATTTCCTGACTACCAAATTTCAACATTAATTTTAAGAAAATGAAATTGCTACCTTACTGTCATATGACCTCTCTGATCATCGTGAAAATTACGGTATTTCCTCCAATTTCCGTTTGCAAGTCATTACCGAATTTGTCGGTGTAAAGTAAGAAGCGTTTTGCACACCTTTCATGTTAATCAGCGCTACGCGGCGCGAGTATTGGTTTTGCTGCAGCAACAGCTACGAGTTGGCGTGTTCAGACTCGGTGACGAGGACTTGTGTCCTATGCCCTGCAGTACTGAAATACTTATCGAATCCGCTGCCTGCTTAAATGGTCTCCTAGAAGCAAAGGGACAGTATGACCCAATGGAATGACTCCCATCCGTCTGAACTGCTGCAGCATCGGTTTAAGCTAGAATGCTTTTACTTCGTACCAATTCAGTGGATATTGTCATAGATGGGTCGCAATAAACCCTTATCGAGATAAGGCGTCAATCACCATTCTCGATGGCACCTGGACAACCGAAGGCATAGACAGAGGGAAGCATGAAACTTTAGTGAATGAATTTCACAGGGTAGTAATGTGCAACCTGGCTTGCTAAGAAACATGGTACCTTCACATCACTGGATTAATTCGTCATACGTTTTCAATGACGAACACGTGTGGTAGTTTCTAACCTTTGCCAAAGGATGGAAATAAAGGGATCTTTCTCATCGGCTAATTCGCTTTGAAGGCAGGGACAGTAATTCGGTTATCTTTTGAATACCGCTGCCTCGTTAGCCGTCAGTGCTAAAAATTAGCATCATTTACGTATATTCACAAACTTCAAGGATTACGGTACTGCGGTACTGATTAAAAATCAAAGCAAATCAAATTCATTCATTTGAGCAACTACAGTTGCTATGAATTAGCATAGAACAGTCGCATCAGAGTTGCGCACAGAGTTGCGACAGATGTTTTGGAGGTGCTTTCATGAACTTCGTGTGAAATGGATAGCCAGGGTTGATCAACGACGACTTTCCCATTCGGCAGATCGTTTTGCTCGTCCTTGTTCCTATTCAATCAACCACCTCTTCAGCGCCGATTCTGCCGATGCGGCAGATCATCACTATCCAAGTTGTTTAAAGTCTTTTTTTATTGGGAAAAAATGAGCGTTCATGCCATTTCTGGCAAGCAAAAACATCTGCTACTGTCCGCGAAAGAGTAGCATTAAAATCGATCAAATCAGCGCTCGTAACTTCAGCTGATAGCAGGTACTCAAAAACTATTGCTACAGATGTACAAAATGATTAAAACAGCTTCACTTCGCTTCCCTCAACTGCAAAGTCTTCAGGAAGTCTCATTTACGTAGCACGTTCAGAAACGAGGCTTGCAACATAGCAATTGCAGTAGTATATTGCATTAGAAGATTGCTTTTATTTCTACCACTGTAGACAACAGCTTTGATTTCAGTGCTTGAAAGATGCTGCTCGGACATAATGCTTCGCTGCCATTATTCCTTTGAAACTTTAATTGAAAAGTTCCGATTCAGCTGTAAATCAATAACCTAGATGAAAAAGTTATTCTTG